ACAGTTCGAGAGGGAAGGAAGGAGGAGAGGGAAAAAAACAACAAACCACCACCAAATTAGTTCTCTGATAGTTTTCAAACACTCAGAATGTCAATCTCCTGGCAACACCTGCACGTGGCACATGGACCTTGGCTCTGTGGAGTCCCTGCAGCGTCTTTTCAAGCAATCTAGGGGAGAATAGAAGGATGTGGCCTTGGAAAAAACCCTCTAAGTGCATAAACAGCTGTGGCCGCGTTTCCTACGTCTGACATCCCAAGGTTACTGCAAGAGGGGAGAGTAAGGACAAACAAGGCTCTGACACAGGCTCCCCAAAGGCAAGTATTTCCCATGTGTTGGTTATTTGTTAAAGAGTTCAGCAACTGAATTGGTAGAAAGATTTGAGTTGCTTTCTGGTAGCTGCTTTCTGCACTAGCAGTGGTGTCGTTTTCTGTGCTGCCTCTCTGCAATTCCCTGTGGATATCTGAAGGATGTTTGACCAGATAAAGTTATAGATGTGGTACAATGCAGTCAAATAAACATCCTTACTCATACAAGCAGACTTACAAGGATGATGAGCATTACACAAAGTGACCACAACAGTCACAATCAGCACTGACGAGTGGGCGAAGAGAATCCTGAGGATAATCCCAGCAGTCCCAGTTCCTGTCAGAGCTACACCACATCTGACACTTGGTATCACACCAGTACGGCCAGGGAGGCAAAGAATTTCCAAACTGGGAATGAAACAGTCCTTCTCCTGGGCAGATCTGCCAACTCAGTGCTCACCTCTGGAACCCTGCACCGAATCCAAGTGGCTGGTGCAGCCATTAGAGCCTTCTGGTTTGCTCATCATCCCCCAGAAAGGTCTGAGCATCCATCTGAGGAGAGGTGTCTGCACAATGCACACTCGTACTGAACCTGCCTGAGGGGCTGAGGGACTCATCCTAGACCTGGAATGATCTCCAGAACAAAAGCCATGAGGCCAAGGAGAACAGTCCGGAGGGAGCACAGGCACTGGACAGCCTCTCCTGGAGCTCCAAGCTGTGCTTTCTCCACGTCCAGCTGGAGAGGGGAAATGAGAACCATCTATCCACACATCCAGTGTCCACAGGCACCGAGCCCTCCACCCTCTCCCAGCCTTCCCTGTGGCCTCAGGCAGCAGGGCCAGAGGAGCCTGGGGAAAACATCAGGAGACACTGGCCTCTGAGGAGCCGTGGCAGCAGCCAGCACTTGCAAAGCCTCATTCCTTGTCACAGGCTGCAGGGAAGGACAGATGGCACCAGAAACAGTGCCTTGAGCTGACACAGAGCAATCTGCCCACTGCAGGAGGAGCCTGCACAGCCGTGAGGCTGCTCTCAGATTTGTCTCGCTACAGTCCACAGAAACCCAAGCGCCGTTTTGCTCCTGGTGTTCTGTTTGGCCAAACCCTGCTCTCCTCATGCAATCAAACCCCGGGACAACTCCACCTAGGATGCATCTCATCAGCACAAACGCAAATAAGGCATTTAATAGAGGCAACTTGGAGCACTGTTTGCTGAGCACTTCATCAGGGCGCAGAGGAGCCGCCGGGGCTGCGGCAGGTGAGGCCAGCTGTCGTGGAAAATGAGCAGAGAGCAGGAGGCTCAGGCTCCATCTATTCCCCTTGCTGGGCTCAGCTCTCCCTAATCCTTAAAAAGGGAGGAAAGAAAACAAAACAAAGCCTCTCTGCATCAGCCTGTTTTGGCCATAACATCCTCCCTACTGCAATGGCGCTCGGGCCATCGCGGCGGCCCAATGAAGTGTTGCTGTAATTAAGGTTTAATGGAGCTGCAAGGCTGTGTCATAGCAAAGAGCCTTATAACAGAGGTGGAATGCAATTTACTGCCCACCAGGTAGAGAGCAATAAATCTGCAATATTTATTGGCAAGAGAGAGAAATGTGATCCAGAATTCCATATGCTGGGTTGGGGGGAGGAGATGAACATCACTTCCAAAGGGGGAAAAGTTCCTCCACTGCTCTTACTCGGAGTTGATGTGCTGGTGGCCATTCCCAAGGATCCCACAGCACCTTCCATGCTGCAGGCAGGCTGCTCCGAGGGCAGGGAGTGGTAGCTGGTACCCTGTCACTTAGGGAGGGGAGGGGATCCCGTGGCCAGCACATCTGGCCAACCCTGCATTCCTGCAATATGAGCCCCAGGATAATGGGAACACAAAACCTCGGGGCCAGCCCCACAGCTGGTGTAAGCCAGCACAGCCACACTGATTTGCACCCACGGACTAACTGGCCTCAGGGTTGGCTTTTTTCCCCCTCCTACCTCTTTCACTTGAAACTTGTGGGCAGGCAGTAAATGGAATGGTATTCAATTTATTGCCCTCGGAAAGGGGAATGGCTGAGCAGCCTGTGGAGCTGAGCCTGCTGTTCCTGAGGAATGGAGGCATTCCTAGCCTGCTGCTCCAGACCACTAGAGTATCCCTTCTGACTCCAGGAGAGCATCTGTAGCACTTCCACTGGAAAATCTGGCTAAAAAAATAAAATCACACTCCTGTGCCACATGGAGTGCAATGACATCATGGAAGTGTGGAGAGAGGATGCCACTGACCATTCTTTAGGCACAAGTGAGAACTAGAAAAGATTCCCATTTCTGGAAATCTTAAATTGCACAAATGCCTCATCAGAAAGTTTGTGTGCACATGGAAAGCACACATACATCCAGCATATGCAGTCATGTCTTCCTCCATTAATTTTTAAGCTGAGAAGAAGGGGTGCATGTGTGGGAACGTGGCACACTGTATTTTTCACTGTCCTGACGTGGATGACCAAGTGTAAATGCTGAGAAATGCTACAGTTAGATAAACCCAAACACAAAACTACTGCCAAGTGGAAAAACAACCAGAGAAAAGCCACAGTGCCCCAGCCCTGGGAGGTGCTGAGTACCTGTGCTGAGACTGTGGGAATGACAAATGGCCAGTCCCTCCCGGGGGACCGGATTAGTTGTTTCCTATGTGTCCAATAGACATTTTCTCTCCGAGCAAAACAACTAGCAGGTGGTTGGTCCTGCCTTCCGAAAGGGCTGTGGCAGATGCAGGGCTGTGCTGGAGGGGCAGCTTGGATTTCACATCCTTTCCTTCCCTGTGAGCTGACTGGGTTGTCGGGGGGTCACCGGGGTTGGTCTGTGTGCATGTGCGAGTGTCAGGGACCAGGCAAAGAACAAGAGGGAGTTTTCCAGAGAGACTAATCCTCTGCCAGAAGTGGTTCTGCCCCAGGAGTGACTTTCAGAAAGGCTGGCATAAATCTACAGTTAATGCTGTTTGCTTGGGCTGTAACCAACAGCGATGTTTGGCCCACTTGGTGCTGATCCCATGGCTTAGGCTCTCATTCTCCCCTCTCTGAATGAATTTCCCAGATGGATTTGCTGCTCCTCTCCAAGTTCAAGCATTTAGGGACACAGAACTCCTTTGGTGTGTAGGAGTAACTCCCACTGAAGACCTCAGAGAAGACACACCAGCAGGGACAGAACCTGTACCTGGTGCCATGTGTTGTGACTGTGTGGTGACATCGGTGCTCTGGCTCCTGTCACCAGGGGCAGGAGGAGGTGACAGGGCCACAGGGCCCCTTCATGTGGGTCCAGCCTTTCAGCACAAGCGTGCTGCAGACTCTGGCAGCCTTTCAAGACAAGTGTCTGAGTTCAGTGGGGATGTGCCAGGATGGTAACCTTGGCCATATCTGCCCAGGCAAAGGTTTCTAAGGCTCCTCATGGGTCTGGCTCCCAAGTTGAAAAAGTCCATCATTTACTGACTGAGGGAATGAGGTTACCACCAGCTGGGAGAGTACGTGGGAGGCTCAATCCCTCAATACATCTACCCAGAATGCAGGTTCCTAGTCTAAAAGGTGTTGCATTACCAGGCAGCTTTTGAGTTCATCACGTTTCTTGAACACCTCAGAACAAGCTTTTCCCCCCCACTTTGCACAGCTACAGGTTTCTTGTGGCCCAAATGCGTTCAAAACACAGGGCAGCAACAGCCTGTGTGTTGCATTGATGGGGTTCAGAGGGTAAAGTGAGGGGTTTTTTTCTATCTTTAGGCTTAGACCATGATTTTAAGACCATGCCAGGTCCAATCTGGATGTCCTAGTGTGCACCTCTGACTGCTGAGTTAGGTAGTTTTGTGAAGCCAGCACTAACTGGGAAGGCTGAAGCCTTATTTCCTTGGCACAGAGCAAAGGAAAATATGAGGAAGGTAAGACCTGCCATTTCTGTCACACATTCTTAGCAAAAATCTCTTGGTTGCCTCAAGTTTTACACAGTGATCAGAGCCCAGGACACACTAAGGTGGGGGAAGGTGCTCAGGGACCCCTCTTCAGCTCTCCAAGCATCACAGTGAACCCCCAAGACAGGGGGATTTGCTTTGGTTATGCTCCCCTTGGCAAACACAGTGCAAAGTGCCAGAGGCCTCCTGTCACCCCTTCCAGAAGCCAAGACACTTTCTGGCCATGGGAAAGGACACAAAGAGGCTGTTTGGGATTGACCACAGCCTCTTCCCACAACTGCCCTGAACTCTTGCACTGCACCAGCCTCCTGCTCTTCCCTTTCTGCCAGGGGCTAAGGCTGAGTACCCTCACTACAACCATTCTCAGCCTTCAAACCTCTGTGACTTCCAGGCTGATACCAGACTGCCCACACTGGTCAGCTCAAAGCCTCACTTTGTTGGTCTGGGTGATCTCCAGGGCTGTTCTCAGGGTCAAACCTCCTCCATCCCCTGGAGCTCCCACACCAGGGCCTGACTGTAAAGCACTGAGGGCTCATCACCCTGAAAGGAGCCATTCCTGCTCCCAGAAAAGCTCTGTCTGGCTGAGGGCAGACAGTTCCTCCCTCCTGGAGGCAACTCTGCCTGTGCTGCCTAAACACAGCAAAGATTTTGTTACTGGGCTGGGTTTTCATTCCTCCCTCCTTCTCGCTGCCTGCAGAGCCAAAGGGCCTGTTTGTTTTTGCTGTTACTTATCAGAAAGGTTTATTTGCAATTGTTTGAGGGGGGGGGGGAAACCCCTGTGTAGCCACAGGCAGACAAGCTCAGTGCTCAGGAACATAATGGCTGGAGCCCGCGGGCCCATATGCTCGCCATCCTGGGAGGTGGAAGGCCAGCTCTGATCACATCCAGCTGCTCAGGATACGACTGATCAGGTATGGCTGGATGTCAGGAAAAAAAAAAACAACCAGGGTCAGCCTGACTAGGGGTTGAGGCAGGGAGGGGAATCTGCGAGGAGCTGTTTAAAGTGAGCTGCAGAACTGGGAATTTTCCTGTTGGGAGATGTCAGGGCTGCAAACTCAGACACATATACAGCCCCCCTGGAGGGAGGGAGGGAGGGAAGGAGGAGGAGGAGGAGGTTATATTTCCCCTGTCAGCTACTATAGCATCCTCTGGGCTTCGTGAGGGAAAGAACGGAGCTTTCATACCGCGCTGAATAATTCCTGCATTTTTAGGTTCCTATTTCCTCGATGAATTAAGACCTAGGAATTCAGCTTGTTTGTTGTCGCTTTTGTTACTGAATATCCGTGAAAAGCTCAATGTCCCTGGGAACTAATTAGGTATTAACCCTGCATTATTGCTGCGTATCAGCCATGGAAACACACCATTTGGCTAAATCTCCTTGAAATATGGAAATATTGAAGGGTCAGGTGGAATGGCTGAAAAATAAGTCAAAAAAAAAAAAAAAGAAAATTTCTGGGGCAAGGAAGGAAAGGAGGAAAATTTTCAACAAAAGCAACTACATGGTATTATTTTTTAAGGCTTCTATGAAATCCTAAACAAAACTACCAGATAGGAACAAAGTTGTTTTTAGAAGAACAATGAGGTCTCACTGGGAATTGTGCCTGGGAGAGATGTGGGAGAGGTCGGGAGCTACACAGGATCTATTCCAGCCTAACCTCAACTTGTTTTGTTCTTAGGTCCTCACTACCATGTTTTTGGGCAAGATACTTTTAGAAGAACACCTCAACCAGATCATGCTCTCAAAGACCCGAGCCTTCACTGATGGCAGGCAATAATTTTGCATTTTGGAGTATCTTCTTACTCTTATGCATGGCAACATTTAACAGCACACCACCATCTGCCACAGAAGCACAGACCACTAATGGCATCATAAGAATAAGTGTGTACCTATCCATATTTTATTACTCATGCCATTTCAGGGTTTTGCAGATAATTAACTCTGAATACTTATTCATCTATTTTCCCTCAAAAATGTTACCATTCCACTTAAAACCCTTCTTTGTGGTCCAAGCAGCAGCACATTTAATCAGACCGAGCAGGGCCGCAGAGCAGCTTTGAAGAGGCCTTAAAATATCTGAAAACTCTAAACCCAAGCCATGGGAAGGGGACTGCTCTCATCCAGCCTCCCCTTGCTCCCCTCTCCTGTGGCTTGGGGGAGACAGCAGAGTTCCTGATCCCCCAGGGACAGGGATACAACCCCCTCAATCTGAGTGTTTCTCCAACACTGTGTCAGCCCAGACACACTGACCCAATCCAACACACCACTGAACCAAAATATTTTGATTTGATAAAACAAACTCAACAACTGTTTAGACTTTGTCTGACCAGACTCACAATGGAGGTTTCCTTTTCAACTTCCCTATTTATTCTCATCTCTGCCATCACACAGTTAGGTGAGCAAAGCCAAAGCCATTCCCTTCTCCTCTCCCCCCCGTGGATCCCAAGGGAATGGCCAGGTCTCCTGGACTGTCTCCCACTGCACTCCTGCATGGAGCCAACCCAACAGGGCTGTGGATGGCTTCAGGAAACCCTACACACAGCTATAATGAAAAATTATTATTCCAGCATTTTGCTTTCCAGTTGTTATACAGGCACTTCCCACAAACCCAGTATGGGACTGAAAGGCCTCACTTCCATTGTTAGTGGGTTTACAGTGTCTTTCCCAACACATCCTTGCCTCCCTGTTACAACAAAACCACCCTGCTCCTCCCTCAGCCACACCCAAGCTCCAGCTCCCCGTGCACAGCCCGAGTGCTCGTGGTGGGAGGTCCGTTCTCACATCAGATTAAAGCCAGGCAGAATCAATTAAAGCAAAAAGGACGGGGTCTGCTGAGATGACAGAAGGCATTTGGGGCAAAATCTCACAGCTGAATGCAGGAGAGATGCCTTGCCCAGGCTCTCTTGTTCCTCCACGGAAGCTGGGGCACAACAACATCTCTCCAGATGACTCCAGACTGCCAGTCCTACCTGATTTTTTTTTGCAATGGCTCACAGTGCTAAATAACAAGGAAGATCCAAGTCAGAGACAGATAGAAGAGGATATGAATGTAGGAGATGATCAGAGGAGGGACTTCTGGTAACTGGAAGAGATGAAAAACAGCTTTGCTGCCCTCCATTACTCAGAGATGAGTAATTCCTGTGGGGGCCCTGAGATAAGAAAACCAGACCCAGATTTTTGTACCTCGCAGATGAACGCATCCTTCCTTCTTCTTAAGACTCATTCCCCACCTTCCACCCCTCTGCAACCAACCCTTCAGGATCTATTTTGTGTATTTATACCCGTTCTGTATCCACTCAGAGCCACCCACTGTGCCCATTCCTGCCTTTGTCCTCTGGTGACCCCAGGGCCATTCCCTCGTGCCTTCCCAAAGGGAATGGCAGAGCACTGCAGCCCATACATGCCCTCAGTAACAGATGTTGGCTTTGTAACTTTAACCCCCCTGCAAGCCATCCCCCTCCCTCCCTCCTCAGCCTACATGCCATCCAATTTGTCACCTACAAGGAAGGTCAGGGTCCTGCTGGGTGCCCAACATCTCTCAGCTTGGGGCACTTAGTTTCACATTTTTTCTCCCACTAAACAAGATGTTGAAGCAGAGGAAGAACAAGGCAAAGAAACTAGTTTGAGAGAGGGCCTGTCTGGTGAGGGAGGATTTTGCTTTGCTTCCCTCCCACCTAAATTCTCCCATGTCCTGGTAGCAGACACAGATTTCCAGGAGGAAAATTCCTCTGCAAGCTCCTGAGACCTTCAGCTTCCTCTGGGAGCAAGTAAGCAGCATTAGCTCTTAGAAGTTTGCCTTGCTGGGCTGATCTGTGGTGTGAAGGAGCTCTAATTAGTCATTTAACTTAAGAACTAAGACTCCCAAGAGAAGATTTCAGAGGGGAATTCGGACTGAAATTATCAACAGCCTAATGCAATTGCTCTGCACTGCCTTTGCAGGAGCTCTGTCTCCCTCTCCTCATTTGACTATCTATTAAAATAGGTGTTCTGAAATACTTCCACAGCTTTGCCAGACCATGGCTTGTGCAGCCTCCCCTGGATCCACTCCTGGGTGAATTCACATCCCATCATCTCCTGGATTTGGGCTGGGGAGAGGAAGGTGTGTCTGCTCAGGATGTGGAGCTGCTCAGGAGCAAGTGCTGCTTCAGGCCCATGGGATACAGTGGAAGGGAGCTTAAAATCTGCTTAGAAGCTGCTTAAAATCTCAGGCCTCCAGCAAAGGGTTCTTAGAGATCAAAGGGATTCTTAGGGCTGGATGCTCTCAACACTGACTGGACTGAGTTTTAAGGATGATCTTCATCTAAAGCATCAAACCTGAGCCCACATCTTAAAATGATTCCAGCATTATCTGAATATTCCCATAATCCTGGGACTGTTTGAAAGCTTCTGTAAGCAGTCCTGATGGAGTGCTGGTGTTTCCTGCTTTCCTAACTTACATCCCAGGGATGGAAAGACTGGGTCTGTGGTATTGCCAGCTCCAGTACTGCCATGCCAAGTTACCTTAACATAGTAGTTTCCTCAGTTTGTATAATTCCTGACAGGATACAGAATTGTTTGGGTTGGAAAAGCCCTCTAAGATCGAGTCCAACCATCCCCCAGCACTGCCACCACTAACCCATGTCCCCAAGTGCCACATCCACACATCTTTTAAATCCCTCCAGAGATGGTGACTCCACCACCTCCCTGGGCAGCCTGTATTGAAGAAACAAGTGGAAACCTTGATCACTGGTGCGATTCTACACAATTCTGAATTCTTGTTTCCAGTAAATGATAGTCCTTCCCTGCCCCTCCCCAAGAGAACCCATCTACCCAGCACAGAAAAACCCCCACATTAAAACCTTGCTGATGTTGCCCCAAATGAAGTGTGAAAAGCCTGCCATGGGGTCAGCTCTCCCCACTTTCTGAGCCCAGCTCTGTACTCAGCCAGTGTCTGGTAGAGGAGAGATGAGAATGCTGTAGTCCAGTGACCTGAAAACATCTCAATTTCCTCCATGAACCTTTCTAATCAGTTAAATTGATTACTTTATAAGTGAGGAGTAAGGTCTCCAATTTCTTCTTCAGTAGAACCACTCCTAGAGGAGCTCTTGCAGAGATATAAAGTATTTTTTTTTCTTTTTAAATAGAGACTGTCAGACAAATCCTCCAACTCTGATTTCCCAACATGTGTGAAACCTGTCACATCAGCATCTCCAGCTCTAAGCTGGAGACAAAGGCCATGGAAAAGACTCTTCAGAAGGCAGTAAGCCATCAGTTCACCTCTTCACCAGGAAATCTTTCTTCCTGTTCAGTGCAGTGCCTGGAGCAGTTAATGGACTCCTTTCAGAGCTTACCAAATTTCCCCCCACACACACACATAGCACTGAACTTATCTGGAATGGATGGTACTCGCTTAGAAAAAGAAATTAAATCGTTGCATGTCCTTTGAAACATCCTAAAGTCATATTAATAACATTTTATTCTGAGCCCTGTGTTCCCCTACCATGGGCAGGGACACCTCCCACCAGCCCAGGCTGCTCCAAGCCCCGTCCAACCTGGCCTTGGACACTGCCAGGGATCCAGGGGCAGCCACAGCTTCTCTGGGCAACCTGTGCCAGGGCCTCCCCACCCTCACAGGGAACAATTTCATCCTAATATTTAACCTAAACCCACCCTCTGCAAGTTTAAAGAAAGCAAAGGATCAGCACGAGGTCCACGAGTACTGGTGGAAGCCCTTTATAACCCCTCAAAGAAGGCTCAGTTCCCTCGTCACACACGCTGGCAAACACTGACCTGGCTGACACCGTTTGGCACAGGAAGAGAGGGAGGGAGGGAGGGATCTGCACCTTCTCCAAGCCCCCAGCCCGAACCACCCCCTGTTCGAGCCCCAGCGCTGCGGCCCCGACACGCAGGACCATGGACAGCAGTTCCCACTCGCCCGGCTCGCTGCGCTCCCAAACACACCGAGCACACGCCGGCAGGAGCTTTGCCTTTCTTAGTTACCCCGGGCTACACCTTGAAAACACTCACATAAAGCATCGTGAGCCGGTTCTGCTCACTCCGAGTGCTGGAGCTCTTGGAAGAGCACATCAGCCCAAAGAACACCCTTCTCTCTGCTGAGTCCTGCTGAACACCACAGAACAGCACATAGAGCTTGAAAACTCCCTGCTCTGCTGTAAATAGAAGCATCTTTTCCAACCCAGGTCCTGATAACAACCAGGATGTAATGAAATATTATTAACCTCTCAGCCTCCACTGTAACCAGCTTCCAGGACACACTTAAAGGATTCCTGTGAAAAGGGCAAGTTGTTATCCACCCACATACCCAATTTACTCCCTAACTCCACTTATGCCAGAAGAATTCACCAAATAAGCCAGAGTGTGATGGCATCTCATATGATTTTTGGGATGGTCCTGTGCAGAGCCAGGAATTGAACCTCATAACCTTGCAGGTTCCTTCCACCTCAGGATATTCTATGATTCTATGACCTCATTTTATGAGGTGCCAATGCCATTTTCCACACTGAACTCACAACCACACAACACTGGAGGTACCTACATCACTGGGAATGCACATCCTTCCAGGAGGAAAGAAGAAACAGCATCTCTGCCGCCCTACTGCAAATTATTTTAAATACCAATGCCTGAATATCAAGAACTAATTATTAATTCTCTTGCAGGTCTAATTCTACACAGCTGTCTCAAAATAAGTGGACCATCAACCATGTTTTGCTATCAGCCATCCCTTTTACTTTGACAAGGAGCACAACACTGAGATACCACAAGACCAGTCCTCCTACAAGGCGGATTCATTCTCACTGAGCATCCAAAGTTCAACTTGGAGGACAAGGAAAATGAGAGAAATGGCTAGTGACACTAAGCCTTGATAGGGTCATGGGCTTTGCAACAGCTCCGACATGCAGGCAGGGGAAAACATCACTCCCAAAGTAAAGGGACAGAGGAAAGAAATGGAGGAAAGAAAAAGGAAAGGTTGATGGACAGTTGGACTTGTTGAGGGTGAAATCAATTAAAGTGCATCAAATCCGGAGTTCATGCTTTTTCAAAGTGACAAATATGTGCTGGAAACTGAGAAAGATGAGGGGAAAATAATGTCTTTGACCTCCCGGAGACCGGCTGTTCCTTCCGTCAGAGGAGCCAGAAGTGAAGTGAGATGCGTTCATGATAAATTGTAACAGCCAGGCAGCCACCTCAAAAAAGAACGAGGTGAAAAGGTTACAGAAGGGACCCAAAATGCGAAGAATTCAACCAAACATCAAGATAAATCAACTCAGGCCCTTGTGTGTGCATACCCAGCCTTCACAGAGCTGCTGTGGCTCAGCTCAGCTCGTGCAGCCTTGAAGTGTAAGAGAGACACACATCTTGTTTACAACAGCTCTGGAAAACACCCTTACAAAGGGCTGGCTCACCTCAGCCTTCCCAGGGGAAAGGATGCAGTGGCCACCCCACCTGCCACCCTGTTTTGGAGTTTGTTAGACAATTAGGACATTTCTTTGAGGCACACAAGTATCCCTGACAATCCTGTGTTCAGCTAAACTCAGCTTTCCAAGAGCTGGATGCCTCTCTCCCAGTAAAGCAAACAATAAATTATTCACACATCTGAAAGTTTCAGAGCCTTGGTATCTCTTATTTTCTCTTGCACTTTGAATTTCCTGGTTTTGAGATTCAAAGCAGGGTATAAATATTTGTCTGGGTGCTTCCACCAACACGGCAACTTTGGATCCTTTCCCTTGCTAACAACCAGAAATTATTAACTCTGACGATGCCTTTCATGCAGAATAGTTGAATGCAAAAGGTAAAATATTTTAAAGGATCAATAAACATATGATATCTGCTAATAAAATCTTTGAAACATCCCTTTAAAGATTGCACCCTGCTGGGAAAATATATTTTCAGTCCAAGAAAATATCTCAATCCAGGTGAAACGAAACTCAGCATTAAAAAATGACACAATTCCCATGGCAGTGGTGTTTTCCACATAAGGCAAGACTTCACAAAATCATTTTGGCCAAAATTCTCCTCTAGCAAAAAACCCCCTTCCCTAGTGCTGCATCCAATGGTTTATGTGAACTGCAACAAGCCAAAGCAGAATTTTAGGGAATATTTACTGCACATTTGGGCACTTTGGCAGGGTACATCCCATACACCTCCCACTCAGATGCTCACACTGACTACAAACTGAGCTCTCATTGAGCCCATCGAGTGTCCAAACATTGGGTGTTTGTGACACAGGGTCCTCCTTAAATTATTAATACCCAGCAATGGACGTTACCCCGAGATCTTCAAGCAAGAGCTGGCCAAAATTTTCTTCCTACTTCCAACAGCAGGCTGACCTTTGAAGAGGTCACTGAAGAAACCATGTTTTCTCTCCTTTCCTGCCACTGAAGGGACTGTAGGAAGTAGAGTGCACCAGGAATGTGAAGTTAAGCCTGCTCACACTGCTGCCTGCTGTGCAGAGAGCTGCCTAAGGGCTGCCCTAAGCACAGGGTCTACAGGAGATTCCCCACTGCAGTGCAGAATTCCTCATGCCTGGGCTCCCAGCTGGCATTGAGGGCTTACTGTGGCACATGCCTGCACTGAGGGAGTGAGGTTTGCCTCGGTGTTGCTGTGAGGAAGCTCAGCTATCAAGTCCTGGCTGGCATCCTCACAGCCCTGCCTTCAGAAAGCACTGGTGAGCATCTCGCCAGCTCCTCCTGACACACATGCCCACCCCGCTGTTGTTGCATTTTTCTTCACGACAACCTTCCCTGGATGGTCCCTTCCCCGAAACAGCATGATTCTCTCAGGGAGACACGAGTTCACATCAACAAATCCTTCCCGACACTGCCCCGAAGCACTTTCGCTATGATCGGCTATTCAGAGTGATGGGACACACTAGTTAGATCTCTCTGTGTGTTTATCAATCCCTTCTCAGCCATTTTCCTCTGTAAATCCGTCAAATCTTTTTCTTCAAGCTCTGTGGGAACAGTTAGGAGCTATCTCCTCAGAGGTGCCTGCCCTGCCACTTGGATTTCATCCCGCTCCCGGAGAAGTTGGATGTCAGCAATGAGAGGACTGGTCAGCACAGCACAGACACAGCAGCACTGCTGCCAGTACCCTTGGAGCCACAGGATCCACATGAGAGACCCTTATAAAGCCCCCTGTCCCTATGTAGGGGGCAAGGGAGGAGTCCTCTTAATAAGGGACAGGGAAGGGGAAAAGCCCAGAGATGAAGTCAAATGAGTGAAAAATCTGTAACACCCCAACGCAGACATAACTTGTTCTGAGCTGAGCCAGGGCAGGAATCCAGCTGCTCCACAGGAACACAGGACCTTACAGGATTTAAGGACACAGGACTTGGAAGTGTATTGGACACAAGACATATATTACATATCCCTATCCACATATTACATATCCCTATCCACATATTACATATCCCTATCCACATATTACATATCCACTACAACCCTGCGATGAACGTCACTCCAACCACACACTGCCACTGACAGATTTGAACCTTACAAATTTCCTTTTATCCTGCCAGGGGATTCGAGCCTGACAAACCACACATCTTCCCTTTTAAATAGGGAGCATCAGCCAGTCTGTTTGCCTTACACTGATGCTTGTAACCCTCGTGGATGGCAGTGACTTGCCAGCCAGCCTGAATCTGCACAGATGCTGTCCTGTGGAGCTACACTTCTGCAGCTTACATGCAGTTTGACTGTGCAGATCTAGGTCAGCACCCTGACAAACATCAGAGGAGAAGGTTTATCTCTCCTTTCACACTTGTCATCAGCCAGGCTGGTTATCAGCCCCATTCTGCAGCCGGGGCAATGAAGCACAAAGCAGTGAAGTGACTTGGCTGAGGCCACTTTGCAGGCCAGTGCCTGGTTTGGGAATAATGCTCCAGGTCCTCCACACCACCAACCAGGTGACACCACGTTCATAAGGCCAAATTGTGAAATTGGGGAAGATAAACTTGTGGAGGGCTGACAAAACCTGTAGGTATCACCATCAGCCACATTTGCTCACTCATCTACCTGAGGAGTTTACTAGAGTTCCAGGTGGCACATACAGCATTCCCACTAGTGACAGACCAAAACTTTGGAAAATCCCCAGTCTCCCAATGAGCCACCTATTCCAAAGGAGAACTACAAGGATGATGAAGGATCTAGAGGGAAAGCCATACAAAGAGTGGCTGAAGTCACTTGGTTTGCTCACCCTCTAGAAGAGGAGACTGAGGGCAGAGCTCATCGGGGGCTGCAACTCCAACCTCTGCTCTCT